TATAATCATTTAACACAACGATTAAACCAATATTCAAGATTTCCTAAACAATACTCAATTAACCAAATATACTTCAATTAAACATTAATAAACAACAAAAACATAATACTAAATTACATTAAAATAACAATTAACGTCTTCCCCGATTGTCTTCAAAAATCGAACAGAAAAAAGAAAAAAATTTCGGATTGATGAATGATTTGTGAGAAAAAAATTTCGAATTGATGAATGATTTGTGGTTGGGGGAGCAGTATACAGTTGTATATATTGACCAAAACACGGATTCTCACAATCCGTGTTAATCGTTTTTTTTTTTAAACGTAACACGGATTTTGGTAATCCGCGTTATCCAGTATTAATATTAAAATCCACCGACAGTTTCGACTTGCATTTTTTAAAAAAAAATTAAATGTAAAACAAAAACGGATTCTGAAAATCCGTGTTTCGGTTAAAAATTTTAATTAGAAACACGTATTTTCAGAATCCGTCCGTTTGATTTTTTTCCACAATTATTTTTTTTTTTTATTTTTTGCCACAGATTTTTATATTTTTCTAAAAAAATAAGCCACCCCAACGCCAATGAGGTCATGCTGTAGCCACGGTCTAACTTCTAATGGGGGGTCAGAGAAACGGTGACAACCACTAGGGCCACGATGGCCGAGGTCCGCCAAACAGTCCGCCGCAAAGTTAGCTTCACGAAAGCAATGAGTCACAGTAATTTCCCATTCTCGTGCAAGTAGTGTCAAATAATTTTTGTCACAAATTCCGACCTCAAATTCACTTGGATAATTACCGTGCATAGGGCGCTCGGAAATCAAGAGACGGTTCTTTCGAAAACTAGGTTTCTTTTAGAAATAAGGACATTATGTTTTTGCAAGAAAAAGCTTGGGAACTAGGATGTTGAGAATGTCTCACTATCTCAGTGAAGGTAAACTCTCAAATCTATTTATTTTCGGTGAATGATGTTAGAGTAGTATTAGAACCGGAGGAAAAGAGTACGGTCCCACCAGATAAAGCGCACTATAAAAGGGTGATCCTAGATGTACTTTAGTGAGGTTCCATCGCAAAATCAATTGGTGATGGAAGGAGTAGCCCACTAGGCTTATATACTAGACACATTTTTTCTTATAGAATCAATGTGGGACAACTCACAAGTGATATTCCAACAAGTAGAAACATTCGACTAATTCCTGTAATTTGTTCATCTCAGTTTTTCCAGCAGCTGAGATCGGCCGAACCCAATTTCGCTCGTCGTGGTGGATTCTTAGCTTTGAGCTCTGAGTGCGGCTGCTAATGATAACGATTTGCCAAGTTAAACAAGATCTCTGGTAAATGCGTAAGAAATCTCAGTAAAGAATCAGCGACCTTGATTTTGTTATACCTGGTTTGTAGCTGGTTTCCACAACAATTCATTGTATGTTAGAGACTACATATTTGTCCATAAACATTGATATTAATTTGAATATTATAATTCTTGTTGACTCTACAAAATACTACTAATATAGCTTACCAACCCACTATCATTTATTTTGTACGGTCTTTAATTTTATATTTCTTTTAGCAAACAATTGTCCACAACAACCGTCAATAAAAGAAACAACGGGATTCCCTGGTTGTTAGCTCAAAGAAAGTATGAAGCGCACTTCTAATTATAATAAAGAATCCAAATACGGCGCCGTGTCGTACACACTTGATATTATTTTAAAAAAAAAAGGAAAAAAAATAAATAAATAACACTTTACTCCTAATGAAAACTAAAGAGACTCTTATTTTGGTAGACTTTGACAAGAGAAGTGAGCTTAGGCAGCCATTCCTTACTTTCTTTCCCTTTCCACTTTTCTTCATTCATTTTCACTGCATTTACCATTTTGCCCACATCACAAAACAAGTAGAGATAGGTTCCTCGCGAGGCGCCCTCAATGGCATTATTAATGTCGTGAAACGTTGCGCGTGAAGAAGGTTCAAGACATGGAGACGGATGATGCATCTTTCACGGAGGTTTCTCGAGCGGAAGACTGGCCGGTCAATATCGATATGTTAGGAGAAGTCGAGCTTCGGCTGTGCGTGTTCACTGTGTTCATTAGGTTACTGACGATATTGTTGTTGTTGTTGTTGTTAATAAGAGGGGGTTTTCTAGAGTTAGAGGTTGTGGCGGTGGAAATGGCGGTGGCAAGTGAAATCGGCATGAGGCAGAGGCCCTTGCCTTGTAGATACTGCATGGCGGACCCCATGTCTTCTTCCATCAGCTTCGCCACTTGTTGCTCTGTTATGCTCGTTCCATCGTTCTTGTTGTTGTTAGATGATGATGTCGTGTGTGTCCCGTTGCCGCTCTTTCCCTAAAGCATGCTCGAAAACATTAGTGTAGCAATCTATCATTTGGTAACTAACTACAATTTTGGATAGACTAATCTCCAACTATGTTACTTTACATGTATAACTCCATGTCAAAAATAACTCCATGTTACTTTACATGTCAAAAAAAACTCCATGTTGTTACTTGTTAGACTAATCTCCAACTATATAAATAATTACATGAAACGAGAATTACGTGAGAATGTGACATAAACTATTCAACCGATCTTCTACTTCTACCACATATAATTTTAATTTTAGATAAAATTGGTAAATTTTCTTAAAGTTCTTTTTTCTTTCACCAGATTAATTAGGATAATGCTAAAGTCTCGTTACGGAACCATTCTGTCGGGATTTGTAATCGCTAAATCATCATGTAACCGTCGTTGATAGTTGATTTAACGGTTACAAACTCCGACGAAATGGTTCCGTAACGAGACTGTAGAATCTCCCATTACTATTCACCTCGGAACGCACCCCAATTTGAACAAGTTACAAAGGAGAAATTGAGAAAAGAGTATCAGCTGAGGGTGATTTTGTAGGAGGTGGGTTTGTGGAATCTGGAGAAAAAAAAAAAA